TAATAAATATCGATTAACTTAATAAAATTTTGACTTTTATATGTAGCTACGATTATCGATTAATGAAATAATAGTGTCTGATAATTTTTATATTAGCCTCTGACCAATAAAATTAGTAAATGACCCAAATGACCTAATGACCTGGTCATTATTTGATGACTCGAGGTGATTAGTCATTTGAGCAAATGACCTAGTCATTTACCATCACTGGTAAGTATTAAGTTTTGGTTTTGGTGTATCTACTTTTTTGCATTGGTCCATAATAAGTTAAATAAAATAATATGAATATATCTGAAAATGTTAAACATATTTAATAATAATACTATATTATAAAAATATTTTATAAAATAAATTATTAAAAATAAAATAAATATAATAATATTAAATTCTATTTTCTTTCATCTGAATCACTTCAACTTTCCATCGTTGTCGACCCCACAATCAGAATTTTTTGGCCACTCACATCTTAATTTTTTCGTACTCCATTGCAAACCATCAGGGCAAGCCATCACATATGGATGACCGTGAGCGCACTGAATGAATGAACAACAATCTTCTGGATTAGCATAAAGTCCATTAGGGTTATTTTTATGATTTTTCTTTGGACAAGTAAAACCTAAATTAAAATTTTACATATTTTTAAATAAATAATTAGTTGGTTAAGATTTTAAATTATAATTAAAAGTTTTTTTATATCAAATTATAATAAACATCCTTACCAAAAACGAAAATAGTATATAATGACATTATAATCAACAGGATAATTATGGGTTTTCTGATGAATTTCATCATATTGGGAATTTTGTTATTTAATTATAAAAGATTTTATTTTGAAAATATAAACTTTTTAATTTTTTTTTTTTTTTTTATTATTATTATTCAAAACAGATCAAAGTCTTATTTATAATTTTATCGAAAAAGAATCTAACATTTTACAATGAAAAATTCTTTCTCTTTTATATTTTCTTTTATTGATTTATCCAGGAAAATCTGTGCTTTTAAATTGATAATACCATAATCGAAAGTTTTCAATTGAAAATTGCAGAGTGAAAACCTGTAACAGGTTTTCACTCTGCAATGAAATTAAAATGTTCAATGATTATTTGTTAGATTTTTTAATTATTACATATGGGTGTTCGAGAGGGAAAACCTGTAAGTAAGAATTGTCTCCTGAAGAATTGTGATACTACATAATTAATCACATAGACAATATGTTCTGGTCATTTCGACAGTATGTGACACATTAATATTTTTATCCCTTACACCGTCTCGCAGGCAAATTGCCTGTGAATTTTTTGTACTGCATTGAGAATAAATTCCGACGGTGACTTAAGGATTAATATAAAAAAATATGATTACAGTATTATTATCTAGAGATTTATCTCGAGCGAGGTCAAACTAGCATATATTCACAACCTCACGCAAAGTTACATTGATATTATTTAATTAATTAAAAAACTATTAATTGATAACTCATTAAAATTTCTTAATCGAATAACTTTACTTCACGCAAGGTTGACATCCTCTTGCACAAGGTGCATGAAGTTGCTGAGTGTTGGAAATTTTGTGCGAGAAACTGTACATCTCTATTAAAATTAATCATATAATATTACGTATTTAATTATCTTTGAGCCACGTCGTACTTTATTTTTACTGCATATTTGACTGACGGTGTAAGGGATAATACTCGATCACATATCAATTATTATTATATAATACCAATATTAAGAAGTTATTTATTTAATAAGAAAAAAATTAAAGTGAACTTAATAATGTTAGCAATTATAAATTTTATTATTGTAGAGAATAACAAAATAAGTAGCTTTGCAATAAGAACGTATGTTTATTTTGGCATTGTTACGGGGTGAATTGTATGTTTTATTATTATATTTAAGAATTTAAAGAGTTGGTACAAAGTCTAATTGAATCGTTATGCAGGGCAGGAATTAAGTAATTTGTTATGATTATTTTATTAATTTATTATTGTTACCAAGAAACTTACTTTTCTTACTTTTCTTACAAGGGCAAAACTACAGCTCTTTTATGACTTCTAAATCATTGAGCGACATAAGGGCTTTGGGATTACGCAACCACTTCTTTCTAAAACAAAACTCCTTCGTTGATCACGCTAATCCTTACATTTCCTTCGTTAAACATTCAGGTTTCCTTATTCCTTCCTGAACCTTCTCTATCTTACGTTCGCATCATTACTGTTAGAACCTTCTAGCATTAATATCTAAGCCTCGTACGCGTTTTTCTCCTTTGAACTAATCACAATCGTCGTCGATTTACACACCGATTTCGGAAATGTCACTTTTACCCGTGACAGCATATATTTATTTGAACCGTTTTGTCAATAGAAATATACATGTAATTAAATTGTAAAAAAAAGGACTAATAATTAAATAATATTACAGAGGAATTGTACATTTATTTATCGCAGATTATTTATATGTAAAATTAAAATTGGTTAATATTATGAACAAAAGACAAAAACTATTGCATATAGTTGTAACCAGTAATACAGTAAATCTATAGTAAAGAATTATAGTATATAACCCGAGATTAACTTTATACTTAATGTTTCCCGATTAACTGAATTTTATAGCTCAAGTTCTTCCCAATTAATTAAATTTTATATCCTGAATGCTTTCCGATTCATTATAATTTTATTGCCTGAATTAGAGATGGATAAAATGCGGATTTTGTCTCTCTAGCCTGAATGCTTCCTGCCTAACTAGAATTTTATAGCTTGAATGCTTTCATGTTAGCTAGAATTTTATAGCCTAAACAATTCCTAATTAAATATAATTATGATCTAAAATTAATTGTAAGTGATTTACTTGATTAACTAGAATCTAAATTAAGTACTTCTCCTATTATAAAATTGGGAATTATGTTTTTACTCATTAATTAGAATTTCATAACTTATAATGATATTATTACTAAAGCTAATAAAAAAAAAAAACAAATACAATAATAAAAAACTGGCTAGACACCAAACAAGAAGTTATCTGTACTTTCGATGTCGACCTTACAATTAGACTCTTCCTGAAACACACAAGCATCAGCTTCATTACTATAATGCAATCCATAAGGACAATGACGCAAATATAGAAAACCAACATTGCAAGTAATGAATAAAGAACAATTTTCTGGATTAGGATAATTTCCATCAGGCATATTTTGACAAGTAAAATCTAAATTAAAATTTTAAATAAATAATTAGTTGGTTAAGATACTAAATTATAATTAGAAGTTTTTTATATCAAATTATAATAAACATCCTTACCAATACCAAAAACGAAAATAGTATATAGTGACATTATAATCAACAGAATGATTATGGGTTTTCTGATGAATTTCATCATATTGAGAATTTTGGTATTTAATTATAAGATTTTATTTTAAAAATATAAATTTTTTAATTTTAATTTTAATTTTAATTTTTTTATTATTATTATTCAAAACAGATCAAAGTCTTATTTATAATTTTATCGAAAAAGAAATCAACATTTTACAATGAAGACCGACAGCTAGTGAGTTAGAAAGAACTGTAAAATTATTATGGTAATTATGCATGCAAAACTAATTCTTTCTCTTTTATATCGATATGGGCTGCCGTAAATAGAAATCAAGCAGATCTACATTTGAAAAAAAAATTAATACCTCAACTTTCACAGCTCATATCTCGATGAATTTTAAAGCTATCTTGATTATATAGTATTTAAAAGAAAGCTTAGATCGTACGCTTTCTTTTGAATATTAATTTATCAAGATAGCTTTAAAATTCATCGAGATATAAGCTTTGAAAGTTAAGGTATTGTTTTTTTTTTCAAATGTAGATCTGCTTGATTTCTATTCCATAAAAATCTGGGCTTTTAAATTGATAATACCATAATCGGAAGCTTTTAATTGAGAGTTGCAATGAAATTAAAATGTTCAATTATTTGTTAGATTTTTTAATTATTACTAATGGGTGTTCGAGAGGGAAAACCTGTAAGTAAGAATTGTCTTTGAAGAATTGTGATCAGTGTTTGAAATTAGTGTTCTCAGAGTTCTCATGAGAACACAAATTTGTGAGTGAAAACAGCTAAAAGCTGAAAATTTAAAGTTTTTTATATTAGAGAACACCCAAAAATTGACTCTAAAAATACTAAATAGAAGGTGAGAACATTAGCCCAGTCCCTTTTGAACACTGATTGTAATACTACATAATTAATCACAATAGACAATCAGTGTTCTAGTCATTTCGACAGTATGTGACATATTAATATTTTTATCCCTTACACCGTCTCGCAGGCAATTTGCCTGCGAATTTTTTGTACTGCATTGAGAATAAATTCCGACGTGACTTAAGGATTAATATAAAAAATTATGATTACAGTATTATTATCTAGAGATGTACCTCGTGCGAGGTCAAACTAGCATATATTCACAAACTCACGCAAAGTTACATTGATATTATTTAATTAATTAAAAAAACTATCTGCTATTAATTGATAACTCATTAAAATTTTTTAATCGAATAATTTTACTTCACGCAAGCTTGACAAGGTGCATGAAGTTGCTAAGTGTTAGAAATTTTGTGCGAGGTACTGTACATCTCTATTAAAATTAATCATGTAATATTACGTATTTAATTATCTTTGAGCCATGTCGTACTTTATTTTTACTGCAGATTTGACTAACGGTGTAAGGGATAATACTCGATCACATATCAATTATTATTATATAATACCAATATTAAGAAGTTATTTATTTAATAAGAAAAAAATTAAAGTGAACTTAATAATGTTAGCAATTATAAATTTTATTATTGTAGAGAATAACAAAATAAGTAGCTTTGCAATAAGAACGTATGTTTATTTTGGCATTGTTACGGGGTGAATTGTATGTTTTATTATTATATTTAACAATTTAAAGAGTTGATACAAAGTCTAATTGAATCGTTATGCAAGGCAGGAATTAAGTAATTTGTTATGATTCTTTTATTAATTTATTATTCTTACCAAGAAACTTACTTTTCTTACAAGGGCGAAACTACAGCTTTTTTATGACTTCTAAATCATTGAGAGACATAAGGGGCTTTGGGATTACGCAACCACTTCTTTCTAAAACTTAAAACTCCTTCGTTGATCACGCCAATCTTTACATTTCTTTCGTTAAACATTCAGGTTTCCTTATTCCTTCCTGAACCTTCTCTATCTTACGTTCGCATCATTACTTTTAGAACCTTCTAGCAGTAATATCTAAGCCTCGTACGCGTTTTTCTCCTTTGAACTAATCACGATCGTCGATTTACACACCGATTTCGGAAATGTCACTTTTACTCGTGACAGCATATATTTATTTGAACCCTTTTTAATAGAAATATACATGTAATTAAGTTGTAAAAAAAAGGACTAAATAATTAAATAATATTTAATATTACTGAGGAATTATACATTTATTTATCGCAGATTATTTATTCGTAAAATTAAAATTGTTTAATATTATGAACAAAAGACAAAAACTATTGCATATAGTTGTAACCAGTAATATAGTAAATCTATAGTAAAGAATTATAGTTATAACCCAAGATTAACTTTATACTCAATGTTTCCCGATTAACTGAATTTTATAGCTCAAGTTCTTCCCAATTAATTAAATTTTATATCCTGAATGCTTTCCG